ACCATTATTTATGCAGTGTTATTGTTGGTTAAGATATTTATTAGTATAAACTAGGAACTTGTATTATTTATTTTATATAGGATTCCGGAAATGCTCGAATTACCCTTATTATAATTTAATATAATACCTGTTTTTCTTAATAAATTAATTCGAAATCAAAAAAAGGCTTTATTTACTTTACTTAACAAGTTCAATCGGTTTAACAGCAGCTCAGTCTTTTAAACAATTATAATGTTTGTTAGGTAATCCAAAAGATAAGGTAAAAACCCAAAAGAGTTTAAGAATCAGCCGATTTTAATGCGCTCATTTCCAACGCGGAGATAAAGAGTATACAATATAAAGCCATTGCTTTTATTTATTGTTGATAAAATACAAAAAATGCCAAATAAATCCGGATACGTACTTTTGAAGGTCATTGATTTGAAAACATTTATAATGGCAAGTTGCGTACATTCATATTTGTATTCTTATATATAACTATTCATAACTAAAACTACCTTGGCTGATATAAGGCAACACGAATCTGCACAATCTTTTTGGTATGCAAATATCGATATCGATGGATACTTTGACGAAACCGGGGTTACAAACGCAACCTACCAAATTTTGATCAGCTGAACAAAGAACGGCAGCATATTCAGAAGGATTGCAAGTTTCGGGGCATGAACCACCACACGTGGTATATCGTGAATATTTGCTACAAGGATAGCAAGACGTTTCTACAAAATAAAAATTATTATAACCCTTTATAAATTATCTTTGCTAGTTACTAATTAAGCAAACTAAGATTATGATCTAGTCCTTTCATCTGACCTTCGATTTAAAATTGGTTTCATATTATTTCGTACAGAACGCACTTTTAAATTTAAAATACTGAAATTTGAAAGATGAGTACAAATTTTCCTGTATAAGAAGTTGGTTGAAGAAATTAGAAAAAGAGTAATTAACCTGAGAAAAGTTGGAATATCTAGAAGAAGGGAAATTTGGAGTAGGAGAATATTAGGAGTAAGTACAAAAAAAGAGAGGAAGCATTTAGGGAATTGAAAATAAGTCAAAAAGAATTAAATGGACAGGAAGGGAACGGGAATGTGTGTAGGTGAGATGGTGAGGATTAGGTGTAATGGAATGATCGGAGTAATATTGGTAAATCAAGATAGGTAGGATGCATAAAGGATTAGAAGTGGGAGCATTGACAGGGAGATTGTATGTCAGGGTATTTGAAAGGCCTAAAAGAGATGGATACGATAGCAAGGTTTATTATAATGGGAAATGTGACTAAGGAGGAAGGATGAAACGTTGGAGTGGGAGAGGAAACTTTGACGTATGAGTTGGGAAATTGTGAGGAAAGTAAGAATTGGAGTGAGTGTAGTCTTTCTTAATTTTAATATTAACTTTGAAAGATTAAGTTAAATTAAACATTTGAAATACTTCAGATATTTAACAACAAAATCAGTAGATAATATACTGATATAACTTGATTTTAGATAATATCGAAAGATTGAAACCACATAAGGCATAATGGTAGTTTTAATAAATTACTGGCCAAGAGTATATAAATGTTCCTGAAAATTCTAAAAATATGTTTTACATTGCGAGGTTGTTCCTTTTTGATTTAGAATTCGTTAAATCAATCAAAAAATCACATATTTTCGCGCTACCCTTTTTTATTACTTTTCTTTATTTTCACAAATCTATATGTGGTACGAGTTGTAAACGAAAGTAACCATTCGAGAGAATCTGACAATTTATTAATTATCACAATTACTTTTATTTCTCTATTCGATTGTTGACTACCACGATAAGCAAAATTACGAAAGTTTTACCACGTTTTTAAAGACTTTTTTTCATTAATATCCTTTAACTTTGTTAATTATACACGACACTTACGATCTTCTATAAATGGTGCTAAAAATGAGCACAAACATTTTGGTATACATTGATCCATATTATCCGATATTCTGACGAAGCCTTCTTTACAAACACAACCGTCCTTACAATATGATGAACAAATGTTTTGTTCACCAGTAGGGTTGCATTTTTTTTCTTGGCAAGTGTTGCTGCAATTCGCTTCTTCTTCAAATTTACCGCAACAATGCTCGGCATCTACAATAATTTATTTACAAGACTAATGCAGTCTTATAGTATATATAAGATAGTATTAAATATGATTTTTTGAAGAGAAACAGTGGTATTTAAAACTAAAACTTCTAGGTACCTGTAATAACAAGATAATTTTTACTAGGAAATTAAATCCATTAGGAAACGATTACAGTAATTTTACAATAACTTCGGACAAATAACATTCTAAATATGATATAGGTAAATTTATATAATTACCTGATTTACCGATAATAACTAAAAATACAGTAACTATTAGTGTAGCAGCCGTTATAGTGTACATTTTGATGCTTAATGTTTACTACCGTGCGAACCTGCTTTAAATAACTACTATTTGTAGAAATACGTGCTAACAGTCAAATAGAAAAAAAAGCTTAATTACTAATATTTTCGTTGAGATTAAATAAATTATACTTTTTGAAGTTCATAATGCAATATGTTTATTTTTTCATTTATATTACATTTGTAAAAATGCCTTTAAAATTTCTTTTTCAACGACCTAATCTATTTAATGTAATAAACGCAGATAAGTGAAATTATTAAAAATTACAAATTATCACTTATGTTGAAGTTCAACCAAAATGTTTATTTTTACTGCCGTACAATTATTTATTCCTTGTTCCTTACAAATAACGAAATTACTCATAAAAATAAAAATTTAATTTTTTGAGTCTGTGTTTTTAAATAAACCCACACAATTAACTGTACTAAAAGAGTCTTTAAATAATAAAAAAAAGACGAAATAAATTAGTGGCGTAGCTTGTTGGGAGGGGGAGGGAGAGAGCAGAGGATACCATGATCCCGGCAGTTTGGAGCACGCTGTTGATCAATAATATTACAAAATTTATTTCCTTTTCTCATATACATATATATTCAAATGCCGAGAAATTCGTACTATTCTTATATTGCTATATCCTCAGCGACAATAAAAAATACTGAAGATTGGAATAATGAAAATATAACACTATTTAAAGAACCGAAATCTTTACAATAATTTATAAAACCTGAAAAGTATATTTAGCGACTGCACTGCACATTTTCTAAATTAAAAATATACTTTGTATATACCTTTTCACTGTAGTCCCGACCAATTTAAATAAAAGATTTTAATTGCATAAATTCACGCTGCGCAAATGGAAATAATTCATAATTAATAGAATCGTTAAATGAATATTCTTTGATGTTACTATATCTTGTGTAATATATAATGATTGGTCGTTTTGTATGAGCGGATCATTAACGTCAATGTTAAAAGTTTTTGTCAAGTTTTTAGATATACATATCTACGAGGGTGGATTGATAAGTTTCCGGCCTAACCAAGAGATGACGCCACTAGGCCTACCTTGAGGTGACATTCTATAGTACCATCCTTGGATAGCTTGTAGCTATAGTTTCAGCCCGATCTCCTTGCTAGTGTAGGTTTGACAGCACGCTGAACAAGACGCCTCTGTGGTTTTCGTAAAAATGGAAAAGCAGGAAAATCGTGCTGTCATCAAATACTTTTATTTGAAGGGGTTAACGCCGAAGGAAATTAAAAAAGAGATGGACTCAACACTGGGGACATCCTCCCCGTCATATTCAACCGTTAAGCAGTGGGTTTCCGAGTTTAAAAAGGGTCGTGTGAGCACCTCTGATGGGCCTCGCTCAGGACGCCCCGTTGAGGTCACAACTCCAGATATGATCGAAAAAATTCATCAAATAGTGCTGGGAGACCGCAGATTGAAAGTGCGTGAGATAGCTGAGACCTGTAAGATGTCATATGAACGTGTGCAACATATTTTGCACCAACATTTGCATATGGAAAAGCTCTGTGCAAGATGGGTGCCGCGTTTGCTAACAGTCGACCAAAAATTGATTCGAAAAAACATTTCTACCGCAAATTTGTCATTGTATAAGCGTAATCCAAGCGAATTTTTGCGTCGATTCGTAACCGTTGACGAAACGTGGGTCCACCACTACACTCCTGAAACCAAAGAACAGTCTAAACAGTGGATTGGACCAGGGGAACCAACTCCAAAGAAGGCAAAAACAATTTTTTCGGCGAACAAGGTTATGGCTACTGTTTTTTGGGATGCAAGAGGTATTATATACATTGATTACCTTGCAAAGGGTAATACTATCACTGGTCAATACTACGCAGACTTATTGCAACGTTTGAGCCACGAGGTGAAAATTAAACGACCTCATCTGGCGAAGAAAAAAATCTTGTTTCATCACGATAACGCACCAGCGCACACGTCAATCGTTGCGACGGCTAAAATCAACGATCTAAAGTTTGAATTGATGCCGCACCCTCCTTACTCTCCAGACCTAGCCCCGAGTGACTATTTTCTGTTCCCTAATCTCAAAAAATGGCTTGGCGGTAAGAGATTTGCGGACAATGAAGAAGTAATCGAAGCTGTAAATGGTTATTTTGAGGAGCTTGACGAATCAGTCTATAGAGATGGCATTAATAGACTGGAACACCGCTATGAGAAATGTATCAGCCTTGGAGGAGATTATGTTGAGAAATAAAAAAAAAAAATTTTTAAAAACCTTGTTTTTCTTGGTCAGGCCGGAAACTTATCAATCCACCCTCGTACACTTTTACTTATGAGTACACAAAACTATAATTTGCACCATATAAAATCGTCCTTATGTCCGCTTTTTAGTTTTTAAGTCAAAGAGATAAATACTACAATAACTAGAGATGTGCAAAATGGTTTTTTAAAAGCATTGAAATACAAAATGCAAATACTTTTTTGATTTGTTATTTCAAATGTAAAATACGAAATAGATTTCCTTTTTGTATTTTAAATGCTAAATGCAAAATACGTATTTTTCAAATAAATACTTTTTTGTAGTACCTATTTAATTTTTTACATTTACATAAGTATAAAATATTTTTTAAGAAAACGTTGAAAGTATTTGTTCATTTTTTGAATATTGGGGCTTTTCTAGACTTGCAATATACCACCAGCTGCGAAGATTAAGTATGATTCATATTTTTCTGTTTGAAGTGATTGAGACGTAGTTCTTCTATCTTTATGTTATAGTTTCTTCAGTTCAGCAACAGATAATTCTACGATATGCCTCCTTATTTGCCTTTGTCACCCGTTTTAATTGGAAAAAAGACACTGATGTCAAAATAGTTTGTTTAGCGTGAAAGATTAGTCAAAATAGGGTTGCAAATAATTTTATTTTTAAATTAAAATTAACATCAATCATTTTATATCATAATATTTACAACCCCATTTTGTCTCCTATCTTTTACACATTGTAATAAGAGAAAGAAATGGAATCCATAGTTTCTTTAGCTTTGGGTTAATCTAATAAGTGAAGCTTTTCGAATCGTTTTCTAAGAATTTTGGATGATACGCATTTATTAGCACACCACAATATATTCTAGTTTTCAGTTTTACACAGCTAAATCAATTCGATATTGTTTTGTATGCTGTTTTGTCGTAATTCATAGAATTTCATAGTTCCTTGCTAACGGAAGGACAAGTGGTGATTTGGCAGATAGTGATATCAATTTGGAACTTCAAAATTCCATGGACCATGACATTGAACCCGGAAAACAATATCGATCCAGTATTTAAGATTATCAATTTCCAAGGAGTTTAGAATTTTTTGGGCTCTCTTCAGTTAAAGAATTAGAAGGCATTCATGTAATGTCTTTTTGTTCCCTTTTTTAAACGTCTAACACCTTCAATGGTCAATGTGAGCAACTTTCATTCATCATTTCGTATAATATTTGATCGGTACCACAACAAAATTATTTATATGGTTGGTTAAAATAAATCTTTTATTTGTTTAAGTAAACTACAATCTTCTTTAATTATTTAATTAAACACCTGTTTTCCTGCCTCTAATAAAATTGTTAATAAATTATAAATATCTTCAATTTATATAAATAAAAAGGATAATTTTATCTAAATATTACAATTTACTGGGTTTAATAATGAAACTACATCATATTGACTGCATTTAGTGATATTTTTAATTTACGTAAATATGATGATGGATCGATCCATGGAAGGATGTAAAACCTCTCGGACATCGAGCGTGATTAATTGAGGTATGCGAGGTTCCACTATTTAAAGTAGTTTCAGGCTGCTACTCACCCAGATAATTCAAAAACCAATTGGAAACTAGATTAGAATCTACTTGGCACTTATTGTGCAAATAATGCAACTCATTAACTTCAAAAGCGTCATCATTTTAAAATACATAAACTTAAAAAACCGATTTTGATGTATTTTTACCAGAATGGAAATAAATACTTACATTTACTAACGAACTGAATTTATTTATTTATTTATAGTAAAATACAATGTATGCTACATAAATACGGAACCTGGAATTCCGAAAAGGAACACCCTTCGATTAGCGTCAAATATTTACTACACTCCTTAATGTACTAGATAACTAGAGATGGCATTTAAATCGACTTTTGGCAACTCGAAGCGGAAATGGTAAAAAATCCTTTTTTTTTTTCGTAACAGTAGTTTAAAAATAAATTCCTAGAAAGGAAAACCCTTATACATTGTCTTCAAATTTTTACTAGATGGTGTCCCTTAGGAAGTACTTCGTATATACCCGATTTAGTTTTAATAAAATGTGGGGGGAGAGAGAGAGGAGAACTATTATACAAATGAAGTTTTAGAACGCATCCATTTTGAATTTTTTTGATGCGGCATTTCTTTGGTGGTGCGATCTCGTGATGTTCGGGGAATCCCGCTTTCTATTTTTGAAGGACGATCATGCGTTACGGTAGTCTCGAGAAAATTTTTAAAATATATCTATAATTTTAAAATTTTTCTCATAATATTATACGTAAACGCCTTTTAAATTAAAA